CTAATGAAATCCTAACTGTGGTTTTATTTTTGTTTTCTCTTTGTCACGCTGTGCCTTGTGGTACATTGACGTGGTTGGTTTTTATCAGCTTGCGGTAGACAGTGATACTGTAGATGGATTTTTGGCCAAATGGCCCGCTGTGTGCCTGCTCTTACTCAAGCAGCTCTGCATAACTTTTCAGATGGTTCTGTGTACCAGCTGCCACATCAGATTAGTGTCTTCTTAGAGATTCCTCTTGCTTTACAGATTATTCTTGCAGGGACATTTAAATGTGCACTGATTAGTGAAATATAAGCTGCAAAGTGGTTGCAGTATAAAAGGAATGAACATCTATTTTAAATTGAGGTGCACCGATTTTATATTTGGATTGGGTAATGGACTGATCCTGAACTCTGAATGCTGGGGTATAGGATATTGGTGAAAATGAGCTTTCCACTTAACTCAGTTTTATAGTATGTTGTTTTCTATACTGCATTTAGCACATTTATATTCTTGGATATATTTATTTGCCATATTTTTATTTGCCAAGTCAGGAAATAAATATCCAAGTTAAGCCTGCTGAATTACATAGATTACATCTTATTATTACAGCTTATTGGTATCAGATCAACACTGATATCAGATCATTATTCAGTATCTGCAGATACCTTGAGCTGATACATTAAGCCAGCACTGAATGGTATCACTGAAAGAAATAGGAACAGTACATCTCTGAAGAAGCTTCTCGGAGAGAGGCGAAACGTCTTCAAGCAACTTAAAGAAGTCCAGACGCTTTTCTTTGCAAGCTCCTTTGACTACGATGACCTGGATGACTGGGAACCTTCACAGACATACATCTCTGATTGTAAATTAATAAATGGATAACCGGAATTCAGTCCAGCAGTTGCATGAAAAGAAATGAAAAGCTGTTGTTTTTACAGGCAGTTACCAAAAACTAGAATTCCATTTTGTCATTGATTAAGCGGTTTAAGCTCCACTGGATAATGAAATGAGTACTGCTCAAGAATGTTGTGTTTCTGTTTTCTTTAAATAGAGACGAGGAAACCAAAACAAATTCATGCTCATTTCAACAATAAATATATGCAGATGCGTGTATATGTAAGAGAACACTTGGAACGTTGTTAATGCTTTCATTTACGTACTTTAAATCATTCACTTGGAGTGTTTAGATTGTATGTAATGTAATTCTGAGCAAGATTATTCTGGGATTTACTCCAATTAGACCTTCACATCCTTAACAATGTGAGCAAAAGTGTCTTCCTGAGCTACTACACAGCTTTTAAGTTATATAATATTTTCTTTTTTCAAAATAAAAAGTAAAACATTAAAATTATTCTAAGTGTACTTTAAGGAAGTGGATGCAGGAGAGAAGACATGACTGTGACAACAGATCGTTTGTCTATCCTTTTAATGTTGGGTTTGACACTGCAGACCAAGTTCTGTTATTGTAATAGGCCATCTGGAAAACTAGGTTGGTTCCTTTGGGACCACGTTAAACTGTTTCAGGACCTATATTACAGGTAGACAAGCCTACATCAGCATCGGCGACCAGGTGTCTAATAGATTTGATTGTGACAATGGGATTGCCTTGACCCAGTTTTATGCTCTTTATACTTACTCCTCCGGGAGTTTATTCAGCAATATGTTGGTTTTACCTTTATACACACAACATGTGGGAAGCATTTTTCTATCAGGCATAAATTTTATTATTTATCTTCTACTGTACCTTTATAACTACAGATGTTTGACGTCAGTGTAAAGAAGGTTTAAAGAATACAACAGAGTCAAGAGACAAATGCTAATGTAACATAAATAATATAATATAAAACTCGACAGTCATTATGAAACTCAGTCTGCAGATTGTTTCAAATCCCCAGTGTGAATGGCAGTTTGTCATAAATAGAAAAAGAGCTAATCCCAAGTGGAAAAGGCTGTTGCACTCTTTCTTTGGATTGACACAAATTAAAATGTTAGACTAATTGACACATATGCTGGTGCACAGATGATAATATACAGTGTATGTCCATCTAGGTGACCATAGTACTGGGTTGGAGGACCTTTTGCATTCAGAACTACTTCATGGCGCAGACTCACCTTCAACAAGGTGCTGCCGGAAACCTTCCTTAGAGATTTTGGTCCTACGGAAACGACAGCATCACACAGTTGCTGCACATTCATGTAAGAATCTCCCATTCCAGCACATCCCAAAGGTGCTCTATGTCTGCACTTGTCAGCCAAAGTACTCAGGTTGGCTGCGGTGCTTACAAATGCTCAGCTGGCACTAAGGGGCCCATTGCGTGCCAAGAAAAAAATCCCCCAGACCACCAGCCTCAACTGCTGACACATGACGGGATGGATGTTTTTACACCAAAGTGTGACCCTAGCATCCGAATGTCGCAGCAGAAAGCGAGTTCAATTCAATCTTCTATTTCTCTTCCATTGTTTTTTGCAGTGTTGGTTCATATTTTCTGTTCTTAGCTGACAGGAGCGGCAGTCGGTGTGGTCTTCTGCTGCTGTTGTTCATCGGCTCCAAGGTTTCAACCTGTTCTGAATACTTTGGTTGTGACGAGTGGTTATTTTTAGTCGCTGTTGCCTTCCTTTCAGACTAAAGCAGCCTGGCCATTCTCTTCAGACCTCTGGCATCAACAAGCCATTTTTACTCTGCCGCTCACTGGATATTTTCTATTTTTCGGACCATTCTCTGTAAACCCCAGAGATGATCCTGTGGGAAAATCCCTGGAAATCAGCAGCTACTGAAATAATAAGGCTGAGATTTCAGGTGTATCTTATTAAGTGGCCGGTGAATATTTATATTTATATCAATTTATTTTTCCAAAATTTATCACTATTATCATACTATCAGTAGTTCGGTAAATGCAGTGAAACTCATGCTAATGAGAACAAAACCTCTGAGGTGGTGGGTGGTAGCTGTGAGCAGTGCTGGTTACGGAGGAAGGAGTTGCAATGATTTTTTTAGGCTCCAGGCGAGCATGAATCCATTTTTCATTTTTGCCATTGATGATTGGGGGGCGACTTGAAAACAGCCCAGCCTGAATGACCAAGGGTGCGCTGAAAGGTTCAAAGTAATTTGTAGCCTCATTCAAATTCAGTCTGCTAAAACCTGAGCTTTCCATATTCCCACTATACTTCCACTGTGTGCCATCTCACCAGATCCCTACCCACGTTTATTTTATTTTATTTTTTTTATGGGCTGCGCTTTGTAATGGCCTCAGGTCAGCAAAGAGACCTAGATCTCCATTAATTCACATAAATTCTGCAAAAGCTGTGAACCACACACAAGCATTCCTATGTCCAGCAAGGACACAGCGTGGAGGTGGTGAAGTGCCTAAAACCATGTACGCCCATATCATGTTGTTGGTCTGCAGTGCTGCCTATTTACACGCTATGAGTTATTAATTCTTATTGACACTCATCATGTATCATAATCGATAGAAGTCTACGCTTTCCGTATGTGTTTATGGTTTCAGTTGCTAATTTAAAGATGAATTTGATACTAAATGGTGTTCATTTTGTAAATTACGCTTCTATTTAGAGCACAAATGGGCAGAAACTCTGGGTACCCTCTGGGCCTTGTGATTCACGAGCCATATTTATAGCACAAAGGAAAAGAAAATCATTTACAGTACGTTACAATTAATCTAGAGTACATAGCGTGCCTAAAAAGCTGAGCTGCCCACAGATGCTTATGTTGTGTTACTCTTTTGTGTATGTGTGTGTGTTTGAGTGAAGAGAGCTCTAATCTAGAGAGCCGATGGCAGAATATCTCAGCTGTGGTAAGCACGTCCATGACCTTGACTGTGCTTTTACACAAATAGATTTCTTCGAGCGCCACTTACTCTGCCAGTCTGAACTTGAGCAAACTGTTGTGAGGTGGTTACCCACACTTACTACGATGATAGCTCATTAACACCTGGCTGCTCAACCTTTCTAAAATGTGCTGCCCTCTTTTTTTTCAGAATTAATGATGCACTCAGAAAATATATGAAGCAGGTCACTGCTGTCCATATATATCACCATGGATGACATATTGTTTTTTTAATAAAAACACAGATTTATAACAAAAAGACTTTATAGGTTTCACAATGACTTTGGCTGATGTTAAGAGCTGACGCCATGTAGCAATTACTGATATCCTATAAAGACGCTGACTATGACTGCGAAAAAAGTGATTAGATGTCGCCACCGAATTTAATTCTACAGCCGGAAACGTTTCTAATTTAGTCAGCTATCACGAATTTGCCCTCATCCTTGTGAGAAACTTGCTTTTAAACCATGATGTGCATGGATCCTCCTTCCCACCTCCCCCTCCCCACAAAGAAATATTTTGGTACATTTAATGAGAAGTGGTGTGAAGGCAAAGAATTTGGCTTCGGAAAAGTCGATAATTTCACAGTCGAATGAATTCTTTTGTTGGCATTCTTTCGCCTGTCAAGTTTTAAGGGGAGGCATAGACTAATATGCCTGGCTGCCAGTGAGAAATATAAGGATTTGGAAAAGGCGCTGGTTGAAAAACTACTTGTTTTAAGCAGATGGTGACCACTGAAAAAGCTGCAATAATAATTACACTGTTGTGTGTTTTGGCATGAAAAACCAAAAATATTGTTATTGCATTGCAGGTCTTTTGGCCTCTGTTGTTCTGAGTGGTTATCACAATAAAACATCCTTGTATTTCTTTCTCTCTGTTACCGCAGCATTTTTCATTGTCAGTAATACAACTATTGCTGCTCTGTTGATGCTATGAAGGGTCAAACTCATCTCTATCTGTCGGCCTCTTCTTGGGTGTCTCTTTCATCTTGCTCCATCACCTGACATGACTAAGTGTTTTTCTCTTTTTTACTTTTTTGTCAACTCACAAGATGACCAACATTTATATACTGTGTGAAATCTCCTTCCCCCGAGCTTGGCTCACCATCCTCGGCAGCCTTGCGCATGAGTCATACATTGCGGAACACACACACGCACACACCTGAGCCACTTACCCAGCCAGTGTTCTCCGGTGATCTTGCCAAATCCCTCACGATAAGATTCCCATCCTCTGAAGAAGTTGACCGAGCCGTCCTCCCTGCGCTGAATCACCTACACAGTCAAGACAGCAAGACAAGAGTTCAGGGGTCAGATAAGATTCATCACACGCGGCGTGCTTCATCATCCATTGTGATGACTCATTCTGAGCCCCTCTGTTGGTCGCTGAGCTCATCCAGAACTAAACTAAATGAACTCATAAATGCTTGCTCTTTCACAAATGAATAATGCAAACGCTCTTCCCACTAAAAAGGCAATTTGTCGGAAGATAATAAAAGGAATCCATTAAATCTTGACTGACTTTGAATCAAATTGCAGGGGAATCTGCATATGTAATTGAAAAGAAAAAAAAAATCCCAGAAAAGAGATGATATTCATAAAATGATAATTCTAAATACACACAGAAAGATGAAATTGCTTTTCACCACGTATCATAAAAGTCTCTAAAAACAGTGGTGCACAGTGAAATTATATGATGAGCTTTTTATAGCATCCCTTCCAGTATGAGAAACAAGGAAAACCTTAGCAGATACTTAGCGGTTTAGCTTAGCCATATGCATGAGTGAGGGTGCAGCATCTGTAGCGCCAAATGAAACACTCTATCTATTACAAGTGCTGACATCCCAAGATGAAAGGAAATTGGAAATGTGCTCCAGAAGAGAAATGCATGCAGATGGAAAACGGTCTAGGACCTACTGTTGGAAGACCGTGTAAATGGCAAAATGACAAAAGAAATTCCCTGAGACAGTATATATTCAGCATGACTAATCCCCAAGCATACCACAAGGTACCAGATGGCACCAACAGCCATGTTTGCTTTTAACATCCGCACAGACAAAGAAACCCTGCTGAGCGACGGTTACGTCCTAATCATCTTCATCCTGATAATTGTCTACAAAATTGTCTTAATCTTCATTACTGAATCATCATCATCACTTATCACTGCAGGAATTTTTCTCCCCGTTCTAGATCGATATGTTCTCTAATACTGGTAGCTGCCCCAGTTCATTCTGAAGTCAGTAATGGAAATGTGGGTTTTTATTTATTTACTGCTTTTTTTCTTCATTTTTTATGTCCGATACACAGATCTGATATAACTTACATAAAGCTGTAAACAAAAATCTTTAAAAATGTCTGTCAGTTAATCGCTTATTATTATTATTATTATTATTGTTATTATTATTATTATTTGTTTTTAACAAGACTAAATCATTTCCTAATACTATGTGACACTAAATTGTTTGAGACATTGTACTGAAGCAGGATAAAACAGGAGCTCTAACACTAGCTCAGAAATATCAAACACAGGGCATGGTCCACCAAAGACTCTAATCTGTCCCACTGGATAACTTGGGAAATTCATTTACATAGGTTTTACAGCTTTTCCTACTCATAAAGACCTTCCTTACAGCCATTCAAAACATTTTATGATTTTTTTCCATGGGCTTACAGTAAAAAAAGAAAAAAAATTCTGTCAATCATTAAATAAAATCAACAATTATTACAGGACAGTGAGTGATTTAATGTTGAGCTAAAGCTAAGCTTTTACAGAGTCACTGCTTACATCAAGAATATACATATTTCACAGCTTGTCTTTTTCATATAGAAAACTTGAGATGTATTTTTTTTTAAACGATTTTAAACTCATTTTAAACTTTACACTGACAGCAATGGGAGATTCACTGGTCCAGCCCAACTTAGATCAAAATGGACTGTACATGGCCCACCATATAAAATGAGTTTAACTCCTTCAGATGTGTTTATTGAAATGATTTATATTTTGGACAACAATCGCTCTCAAAGGAATGACGACACATAGGAATACAATATATTTTTTATTGGCTGCACAGACAATAATGGTAAGTTGTACAAGACCATCGTTTTTCTTTTCATGGGATTCATTTAAAGTAGAAAAATAAAGACTCTCATGCAACATAGCCACTGTTTATCCTCTTTTCAGTAGAAACCAAACAGCTGCTTTTTTCTTTTGCCTCTAAACATGCATTATAAACAGTGTAGCTCATTGTTTTGCAAGGACTGCATAGATCTGAAACTACCATTTACTCAAAGTGAAACAAAGGGATTTGTATCAGCACTTCCATAAGACTGTCTTTGCTCTGGTTGTGGCACATTAGACCATCGAGCAAGTGTCTCAGCTGCCAGTAATGATGGCAGTGATTGCACTTCTTAATTTCCACAAGATGACATGAAGAAATTTTGCTGCTTATAATAACTCTGAATCTACTAATTAGTATGAAAGCAGTGTGACTGACTGCCACTAGTAGGAGTGATGTGTTCTTTATTTATTTATTAATTTATTTAGTGCAGCCAGCCTTTTATTTGTCTTAGATGTCACAGACAGCAAAAACATTTAATTTACGGCTTTGAGGTTGTTCCAAGAGCTCTTTCCAAAGAGCCCGTCCAGCCCTCTGTTTTTGCTTGGGTTGTGACAGCAGCCTTTAGCCTTTGGGAGAAGCCAAAGCCAGCTGGTCAAAGGTCATCTGAACTCCTGCCTTCAGCATCCTGACACATGCACCATTGGTAATCCTCAAAGTGCAGAGTGCAGCGGATCTTGGTGATGTCCCGAATCCCGGCCATCATCAGTGACTGTTCCCACAATGGCAGTGATTTTTGCAGGTGGATGATAGCAATGCGAGATCTCTTGGTGCTGCTCATGAGAAACCTTCTCGGAATTAACTTTTTGAAGTGGCCATTCAAGGGGTGAGCCAGGAACTTACACAACTTGACCAAGATTCTCAGATAAGTATCTTAACTCTCTTTACTGTGCACTGTCTCTGTTGTGGCTAAACACGACTCCTATCTTAAATTACATCACAAATTATTTTAAATTGCTCTGTATCCTCAGTCAAATACAATAGTAGAAATACTACATCCCTTTAAATTTTCTACACAGTGGATGCAATCTGTATCACTGCTACAGATGTCAATATTAGAGTGTGCAGAAAATTCACTGTACACCACAAGTATTTTGGAAGGGTTCTTGAGACTCTCCAATACATTCAACTTTAAGTAAAATACACTGTGTCTCTGGCTCATATCCCACAGATATTGCATCTTTGTATGGTGATGCTCTCCCTGACCTTTACTGTAGCCACCATTAGCTCTTCCTCAGCATTTAGTTTCTCTCGGCCTTCATTCAGCCACTTTTGTTACTTGACCTTATGTTTAACCTTATGTTCCTTTTCTGCTAAATGTTAAAAATCTGTCATCCACCATATTTGACAGAGAAGGTGAGATTTCTTACTAGAATGTAGGCATGGAATTTCTGACAAATATGTTTTTTTGGTGTTTGATGTGATTGAAGGACACACTTGTTTCTTAACCAAGGAAAGAATTCTGCGATCATCCATTTTATCTGTCTTCTTGCCATCTTTTAGACATCATGGTGTTAATGCACTGGGTAGTTCTCTCCTTTGAGTTTAGCCAGTGGTTGCTTGTGGTTTGAACAAAAAGACATGGAGCTCAGATAAAAGTCATTCACCAACTTGTGGTCTTTAACCCTCTACAGTGTCTCTGGTGTCAGATGGGTGTTTTGCAAAATGTTATCAACTTCTTTAACTCCTGAACCACTTGCTCAATTGAAAGAGTTCCAACACTTCCTCAAAGCAGTGACTCTGTGCTTTTCAGTGGTAATAGGGTGATTACGGTAAACCCAGGAACAGTGTCACGGCAGCACCGCAAAGACGGAGGTTGGTTGCGAGACAGGAGTGTGAGTGTATGTGATGGAGCGCTACAGAACACAGACATTTTATCAGACATTCGTCTTCTTTTCACCATGTTTCTGTGGTGCCGTGTCTGGGATAACCGTAATGACGCTAATATCACTGAAAAAGAGTTAATGCTTTCAAGAGCCGTTAAAATTTTTCGACTGTGCTAGTGGATCAAGAGTTACAGTAGTTTGACCCAAAGGGTTGACCTAAAACCTTTTAATAGCTGAATACAAGAGTGAGAGTGTTCATAAACACAACACATACCAACCACTATGAAAAGCAGCAGTACTCTATCTACCTCAGGTCAAGTCTTGAGGTAGTAAAACCTAGTAAAAAAAAGTACATTCTTATAAATAGTTCAACAACATATATGCTTTAATCAGTTATATTTATCAGAAACATCTTAACCTAAACTCCCCTAGCCTTGCACATTGGTTTATGCCAGATGTTTCATAAGCAAGTGATTGAGCTCCTTCTACTCTTACAGGTAAGTTCTACTAACATTAACACACCACCACCCCCCGTTTCTTCACCTTCCCCAAACTATCACTTAAATAATACTACCAAAAATAAAATATATAATTTTATATCAGTCCCCCATTAAATTAATAATAATAATACAGGGAAATGTAACAGAATCCCTGATCTCCATCACACGCCTTTTTAAAGTGACTCCTAAACTTTTTTTCCTCTAACAGGTTAATTTGGGTTTTCACTTACATCGACATCTCCTTGGACCTCATATTGAGAGTTGTGGTGAACAGTAACTAAATGCAAGTTCAGCACTTGGAATAAACTCCAGGTCTTTCATCTTCTTAATTTGGAATTCACCTGGGCATAAAACTCTATCTAAATCTATCTGTCAACTGTCTAATTATTCTTGAGCCCCAGATGCCTAAACAGTTAATGCAGCTCATTAATTCAACCCCACGAATTAAATGTGAAAGACTTGCGACCTGCCCAGGGTGTACCCTTGCTCTCACTATGACAGTCTTCATATATATCAGAGAGCAAGGGAGAGCTTTTTTCACAGACAGCTCCCCCTCAGTCTGAATGGCAACTCTAAATCCACTCTCCATGAGCCATGTGTGCAGTTTTTGGTTTGTGAACTACGGTTGAAATGACAGATAACTCTCCAAGAAAGATTTAATAATCAAGTGTCCAATTTTATTTTGAACCCTTGCAGTTTGGGTTCCATGTGCTTTAAAGGGCCACGACTACCACCCACTTTGTTAAATATTGATACAAAACAGAAATTAAAATTAAAGCTGAAACCTGGCACTCCACTGCTGCGCATATAACTGTCCAAATACTGTCTCGACT